AGGGTCATGAGAAGAGAAAGAGAACCAGCAAGGACTGACACTCTTCATGGTGACGCCCTGCCATGAAAAATCAACTCCAGCAGTCGCCTGAGAGCAATCAATGCTACCAAGAATTCCGTTCCGCGGGTACATGCTAACGGTCTCGCTCTGGCCTCGACTGTGTCTATAAGCTCTCCGTTCCGACATATCAGGGCAACAGTTCCAGGTTGGAGGCCAAGTTGCACTGAACTATCTGCCCATATTTCATAATGCTTTCTTGATGGCAGCGAAGGGCCTCGACGGAGGAAGTGGCGGCAGATCAATCGTTTACACACTTGTAATTTCACCGCACCCGGATGCTCCACCCTTATTTCTTTAGGCAACTTGTGGAACAGAATTCAAAATACAAGGTGTAATGCAGACGCTTTCAAAGGAACTTGGCGTTTTTAAAGCTGAGGGTTGAGGTGACGTGCCACTGTTGCACCACCAGCTTGCTAACAGAGTGCTCTGGGGGATACTATCTTTGCACTTTCTCCCGGAGCTCCCCCACGCACCTCTCACCGCAGCGTTTGCCTGAGACCGCGTGCTAATACTGTAGTTCCTATAGGGGGCAGGTTTGCCTCAAGTAGTGCATCCTCTGCGAGGCTGCTCTTAGCTAATCCGGCAATGGATTTGCACGGCTTTTACTGACCGACATTCAGGGTTGATCCAGAAGTGGAAGATGCATCCCGGTACCACCCTTATGAAGGCATACATAGTTTTTCTTTCAACCAGAGCGAGAAAAAGGGGACACAGGGGTTTTCCCTTTGGCCCCTATCAGTCGCAATCGTCGATCAACCTTCTTGCTCGCTCCGCCCACGCGGGTAGAGATACCACATTTATTCTTAATTGCAATTCCCAGAAGACTTGGTTGCCGCTCTATCATTAGCAGGATGCCGCCGCAAAGAAATACAAAGGGTCTCTTCTCCTTTGGCGTCAAAGAATGTATACCTCATTTTAACAGGGCTTACCTCCCATGAAGTATCCCTTTGACCAAGCCTCCGCTGCGTCAATGCCCTCTTGCAGTGTCGATTCGATAAGTGTTTTGCTGCGGTGGCAGGCGAGAGGCGTTAGGTCGCCTGCGAAGAAACCATGGTGAAGCAGAGGTATTCTGGCGAAGCGGGCACTGGGGGAGTTCATAACAATAACGAACATAAGGGAACCCGAAACGGTTCCTTGCGAAGGCCAACGCGTGAAGGTTTCCTAGGATGAAGAGACCCAGCGGATTCGCATTAGCGCTATTCTTTTGTTAAGGAGGATCGCGGCACAGTAAGTCATATGCAGAGGTGTTTGAGAGGTGTTTGCGAGGCGATGCATATCCAGAATAACCTTACCATGATCGACTGTATCAAACGCCTTTGCATGGTCTACGGCAAGTGCTGCGGCACGATTGTGAACAGAGCCGCCTTGCAATGCAGCCCGCAAATGCAGCAGTTGGTCAAGAGTGGTTCGTTCTGGAGGAAATCCATATTGCTGGAATGTGAGCAGCGGTTCAATGTGATCCCTCATTCTGACCGCAGGTGTTCTTTCCACTACTTTACGAAAGCGGCTTGTGAGCTTTACGGGCGACAGGGGTCCGGTTTCGTCCCTTTTTTCTTCCCTGGTTTTAAATAGGTATGATAGCTCCTCATATCCAGGCCTGCAGAACCACTCCTGTGCGGAGACTCTTGCCAGATAGTCTTACGACCGGGCGTTGCGCTGCCCGGGACAGGTGACGTAATGCCTCACCGTGTGTCGACTATTCGCGTTTGAGACGTGTAGTTGCGTTGGGAGCGTGCCCCAGCGGCTTGCTTGCGCTCGCCGCCCGCAGTAACGCTCTGCTTCAGCAGTGCTTTCGTCCAGGTCAGCTGATTCGCGAGTTCAGAAAGGTGATTAGCGTCGGTTTCCAATTGTTACGCTTGGCTTGTTGGCTTTCCTAACGTCAGATAATATGTACCTCCTCATTGCTTTTATAATGGTAATGCCCCGATTTGCCCGAGAGAGACGATCGGTTGAAGGGCGAAATTTATGCCAGTTTGCCTTCTACCATGGTCGTGGGGTCCAGGGGGATCTTGGAATTTCTGTTGGTGTCTAATCATCCCCAATGCGCACATCTTGCATAATAATGTAGCGATCGCTGTCTGGGGGCGGTTGTGCCGTCCAACTGGGCGCCACAGATTCCTTTTGGAGCTTCACAACCGGGGCCGAGACGCACCGTCTAGGAGTGGCCATTGTGCAGTTTCCAGCGTTTGCCGCTCGAAAGTCATCCCCATGCATTACTGCAGAACGGCATCACGATGGGAGTTGGGTAGGGCATCGCGCTCCCATGCCAACGTATTTACGTTTAAGCCTGCACCCATTAACAGCGGCCTGTCCTTCAAGATCGGCTTCTCTAACTCTATGCCAGCGGTCTTGGTGGAGATAAGGGCAAGGTGTCTTGATGGGAGCGTGCCCTTTAGTGGCCCACCAAATCGCAGAGATACAGATGGCCACCTTCGCACAGGCTCAGACAAACCCCACAAACTTGGAAGGGAAGCTCCTGCCCACTGAGTGCCCCCACAAAAGGGCATATTCGCACCCCGTGATTGGGCACAGGCTTCCCACTCTTCTGGTCAAAGGCGCTCGGATCATTTGCGGGCCCTCGACGGCATCAGCGGATGCGGCGAAAGCGCCAGCAGTTAGCACAATCGTGGCCGTGGGTGCGGCGCTTGTGCCTCTGTGGTGCGGCGAAAAAAAGCGCACTCTTCACGCAAACCCCGCCAGTCGTTGTGAGACGCCAAAGGCGTGAGACCCGATAACTCCATGTGGTGCCGCCATCTTCTTGCCAGGATTTAACCCGTGCGGGGCGAGCAAGTACAAAGCACGAATTCAGTACTTGGGCGTATTTGTGCCGCCACAAAAGAGAAAAAACAACTCTATTTTGCTCCAGATGGGTGCCGGAATGCACGTTCGCCTCGCCGGCCGCAATGCCCCAGGAAGAGGTTGCAGCGCGGTATCTTTGCGATGGTCTGAACCTCGTTTGACAGAAAGTTACGGTGGTTTCTCCCGGTGGGCAATCTGCGCGGGCGTGGGTAAGGAAAAAAAGAAAAACCTCACTGGAACACTTCTGCTGCGATACGGGGTAGGAACGTGGAAGCTATAAAAGAAACAGCAGTCCCAAAGGAGTACAATAGTCACCAGATTGGCCTTGTCGGAATGGGGAGACAGACACAGAAAAATACGACTGCCGTATTCCAAAGCTGCCAAACGCAATCAAGCTAAAGCCTACCAGCAGCATCACAAGTAGGAACTTCCGGTTCGCATCCTTTCTCCTCCCGCCCCTCTCTTTCCATCTCTGCGGTGTGATCATGATCATCATCATCA